AACCATTAAAATGTTACATTTAACAATAAAAATTTCAAAACTTTAAACAAGAGCATGGTTCAGAATATTCACACCCTAATACAATGCATTTGTAAAAAGATGTCAAAATAAACAGGACCTATTCTTATTTACAACTGTAGGACAATTTGATCATATTATACATATCTGCTCTAGATTCTATTACAAAACAAATTAGTTTCCGTTAGAATTATAAACCAGATGATTTACAGTAATAGGACACAGTGCAAAGCAGACACTGCTGCCATGGTAATAGATGCAAATATTACAATATTGAAAGCACTAAAATTAGTTTGTTTTTTCTGGTAACTGCCCTACAGTAAGCTTCTCACCCAGTGTATCTATAAATAATTTGTGAAGGTAATTATGTTCTCAGATTTTTCAACTTTTTTTTACCAAAGTGAAAATATATATATGTATATTTATTTATATAGCCTGCTGAAAGTGGAAGCAAATCTTTTCTTCACAGTAACACAACTGCAGCATCTTAAGCAACACTGTCTGGTCCCTTTCTTCTTGGAAGATCAACAGTTCAACTCCCCTTAAACGTTACCATTATCCAAGTTCAGTGCCTCAGTGACCTCATAGACTAAACAGGATTTTAAGACTTGAGGGGAGGGAGGACTAAGAAGTCTCAGGAAAGTGAGGAAGGGATTAGATGGGGAAAACTTTAAGTTCCTTTGACATAATATATGTATAGGTGTACACTCAACTGAGAAAAAAAATCAAAGATAATCTTTGGAAAAAAGTGTTAAATTACAAATGAAGAGTTAGCATCTATGTCTCATAAAGTTTCTAGTGGCACATTATGCAGTCATCTGAAATAACACCAGTTTGGATATTATGCCCAACATTTACATGTCTATGAAGTATCTGACCATATACACGTGCAAACAAAGATTAAAATTGATTCAGTTTGAGTAAATCTAGAAATAAGGATGTTTAATAACCACCACATAAAAGTTCTGAGTTTTAAAAGGCGTTTTGCTACCAACTAGTAAGTTTTTTGGGGGGTTTTATTATTTTTTTTTTACAAATCAACATCAAAGATGGCTCAGAGAATGATAAGGCAACAGTGAGAAACATCAGCTGTACTTGTCTTCTAGGAGGTGTTTGATTACACAGCATGTACCATCCCAACTGGCCCTTTGCTATAACAGAAGAGTGGGTGAGTGATATGTTCCAATAGCTGGTCTAAGGACCAGAGGCACAGTTTCAGCTAAAGTGCAGGACCAGGGTGGAGGCGTGTGGACAAACCTAGAAGTTTTGTGTCCAACAAGGTCCTCACGCTTCTTACCAGTGTATCTGGACTGCCTCAATCTGAACTTGGTGTCCCCACACAGATTCTAGTAGAAACACCCTCTAGGTTTCATTCCAGTACACAGGAAGAGTATAATGCAGAGAAAATATAGGTAAGTCCAAAAAAGGACCCTTTTGTGTTGAACTCTGGGGAAGGAAAAATGGTAACATTCAGCCAAAAAGGCATCTTGAGAAGAAACTAACTTCTGCCTTTAATTTGCATATAGTTATCATAAAATCATCATTCACAGGTTAACATCATACTAGCTTATCCAGCTTTTGGCTACTCCTATTGCCCTCTGGGTGCACACAGCCACAGGCATACTACCTCCAGGCAGAGGCAGCAACCATATAGACAACAGAATTACGATTTCCAGGCTTCTAAAGAGATCGACCCTGAACTGTTTCATTTTGGTACTTTTGTCCTTTCACTCCTTCATTAGAAAAAGACAAGTCCACTAAACCAAGGAACAGAATCATATGGCACACTGAAATATTTTAAATTAATTTTGAGCTAATTTTGTTTGACGAAATTGTTGTTGGCCTTTAAAAGAATAGGAGGCATAGTAGCCCCTAAAGCCAGGATTTGGGAATCACTTGCTTGAGAGTATGACTCAATGCCACATGCTGATCTAATAGATGGTGAGCCCCATAAGTGTTTCAAGGCAAAGGAGTGATCTTAGGAAATGCTCAGATCCCCTGCCACCTATCTGACATGGAACAGACAGGAAAAAATAAGAGCCTAAGTACCTATGTATCAAAGGAAAGATAAAGCTAAGAAGATGCAAGTTAGTAAGATTTTATCCTTTCTCAAATTTTAAAAATTGCACTCCCATTAAAATGTGTTTTTACCTTTTTTAGAGTTACTACTCCAAATACTGAAAATAGTTTCAGCCTCTCCCTCAAATGGCTAATATTAGAAGGCAAGAGCAAGGCAAATGAATTAACTTAAAATACTTAAATAACTTTCTATTTTAAGAAGGCTAATTTTTAAAAGTTTATCTTTGCTTCTGTTCCACATAATCTTGATATGTGACTGGAAAATTGCTGCCAAAGAACAACCCTCCCTTCTCTTGCCCTGCTTCTGATATGTTAAATTTTGTGAATCATGGCCACTGAGGAATTCCCACAAAAACAAGTTTTCTGAAGTAGCTTAAAATATAAAAGTCATCTCAGAGCATTGTAACCCCTGCCCCCCCCAAGAAAAATGACATCAAACTGGATTCCTTTCATCTATGACTGACACATTAAAAGTTTATACATGAAGAGAAATCTGAAATTTTCATTTCATTAGAAGTTACTGTTAAATGTTGAGAGGAATTAACCACTTTCTCTACAGATTCATATGCTAAATAAGAGAAATTATTTAATCAATGACTCTCACTTACAACTCAGATGTAACTTTGTGTATTTCCAGAAGTTAAAACATAATTTGTGGAAATGGTTTTAGCTTCTATAGTCATATACTGTAAGGCAAGAATAACATTAAATTTATTATAAACAAAAACTGACAAGATCTTCTGCCAACACTTTACCAAAAAGTATATCCAGACTACACTAGATATTATATAACAAATTTCCTCCCCCAAATCATGTAGCTCTAATGATCAAATACTTAATACTGCTAGTAAATCTCATATACTTGTGCTTTTACGCCCAATAAGAGTACTGTGGTCTGAACACTTTGAGATCTGAGCTCATATATGAAATGAATTTAAATATATGCATGCAGATGTCTGTAAAATAATTAGAGCTACATGTAAGCAAGAGCCCAACTATTTGCAGATAGACACATCTTTCTTGAAATAAGCCGTACTGATACCTACTCATTCAAGATAAAACTATTAGACCGGGGAACCAAAAAAAAGAGAACAATTATTTTTTTGGAGGGTGGGACCCTTGTAGTACAGGGTTCCCCTGCTCAAAAAGTGTTCTACGAACCTATCAGCATCAGTGTACCAGCTAGCATTGTTGTGAGAGGCTATGTTCAGCTTCAGTGAATTTTTTTTTTTTTTGTGGATATTCCTTCAACACGTTTGCCCATTTTATGATAGGTGATTTACAAGTGCATCTGCTCACACTGCGCTAAGTATATTCAGCAGTTTTTAACCAAAAATCACATGACCTCTGTGCCCCACCCTTCCTATTCACCTGATCTCACCCCAGGAACTTTTTTTTATTTCCCCAGATGAAAAAAGTCCTCAAAGGGAAATGTTTTGCCGATGTGGAAGAGGTGAAACAAAAAACAGCAGAAGTACTAAAAGGCATCAAAACTGACAAGCTCAAAAACTATTTTGACAGTTGGAAAAAGCATCTCGATAGGTATACTGCATAAAATGGAGAGTACATTGCAGGTGACTGAAGTTTAAACATGTAAGAACAATTTTTTTTAATAAATAAATTTTTGGGGTGGTCCCCCTTGTATTGTTGGAATGAAAGCACTGAGAAATGCAAACCCTATCTCTGAACACAGCTAAGCAGGAAAATACAATCAATACAACAGAAATACCTAAAAATAATGATTTTTGAGGTCTTTGCATTACAATGGTCAAAGTGAGCTTCTCCTCAGCTTAACTTAGCTCCAATTATAACTAGCAGTCCCCAGTCCTTCAGAACTCAACAGCCACTGTGAAGTGTGTGTGTGTGTGTGTGTGTGTGAGAGAGAGAGAGAGAGAGAGAGAGAGAGAGAGAGAAGGAAGGGAGAGAAAAGAAGGGAGGGAGAGAAGAGGGAGGGAGGGAGTCAGGAACAGAGGGAGGGAGGAAGGAAAAATGAATAGTCAAACACATGGAAAATCACCCTTCTTGAAATTGGCAGATTGGACCTTTCACATATGAAGAAAAACTCGAATGGTAAAGCTTAAGATTCAGTTAAGAGAATTAAAAGGCAAGTCATAAATATCATTTTCCTCAATACAAAATTTTGACTACTGTGTTTATCACTTGTCATGTTTTAGTAACTTATTCATGAAGTTCTCCTATTCTTCCCCAAGACGATTTTGAAGAAAGAAAATACAGATTTTTCTTGTTTACAGTATTTTTTTGTCCCCAGGAGGCTGCTTCAGTCAGCAGCAGAGAAAGAGAGGAAAGTTTGGTAAGAACAGTTAAAGAGGCACAACTGACCCTTTTGCTGAGTCTTTAGAAGAGGTATTCACTGGAGTTAACTGCTCTGACCAAACTATAGGAAGCTTTTTTAGGATGGAAAAAAAAAAAAAAGATGGCCCTTGGATTCACTTTGTTAACAGAACAGTCAGAACAATTTATACACATCTCCCCCACCCATCCCATTTTTGGCAGAATGTAGCCACCACAAGATATAATAGGCTTAGCGGCTTAAGAAAAGGAATATATATCATTGTTTTCTTAGTTTTAAGTCTCAAAATTTAATATATATGTTTTTAAATTTACTATTGTCTTCTTCAGTGGGGCTTTTCTTTTCTTTTTTTTTTTTTTTTGTAGTTGAGGTCTCACAGGGTCACCAGACTGGAGTGCAATGGCATGATCTTGGCTCACCGCAGCCTCAAACCCCTGGGCTCAAGTAATCCTCCTACCTCAGCGTCCCAAGTAGCTAGGGTCTGCAGGCACATGCTACCCACCCAGCTCATTTAAAAACAATTTTTTTTTTTTTTGTAAAGATAAAGCCTTGCTATGTTGCTCAGGCTGGTCTCGAACTCCTGTGCTCAAGTGATCCTCCTGTCTTGGCTTCCTAAAATGCTGGGATAACAGGAATGAATCGTGGCACCTGGCCTTCAGTGGGGCTTTAAAAAATCCCCACCTACATCAAGTTTTTCTATGTATTAGCATGTCTCAGGTCTCAATGTCCATTTTCAGACTACAGGCCTAATTTTAAAGGACTAGTTCATATTTAAAACCTGTTAGTGTACACACACACTCACACACACATATATAAAGATATATAGATATAGATATCTATATCTATATATATATGTGAAGCACCATTTCACATCTACCAACAAGAAAAATAATGAACAAATTCATCTTCTCATTATAATTCTGTTATGAAGGATAATAATGTAATAAACAATGCCATATTTAAAATATAAATACCTCAGTAAATGAAAATACTGACAGAGTTCAAACTCTGTTCAGAAATATTTTAAAAGTAAGGCTCAAATAAATGTGTAGATTATAAACACACTATTTACTGATCAATTTTTAAATGAATGTAAAAGAATTTATTTCAAAATCGAATAAATAGAATGAAGAGAGAATACTAAATAAAAATTCAGTTGATGAAACACCAATCATTAACTGAACCCATGCAAACTCCACAATATAACTGCTTTTACCCTTATGGCCTGATGCAAGATTCAAGTACAAAATGAAGAACATTTATGTACTCAATTTTATAGCTCTCTATATTTAAGGCTAACTGTCACAAGGAAGACCTTTGCTTTACAGATATTGGCACATTAAAGGATAATGTTGCCCCCTAATTTGAAGAACAAGACATGAAATCAGATCATTTATGGATTGTTATAATTTAGAAAGAAGCCTCTATCTAAACCAAACCTTGGGATTAAATTGATTAAACAATTCATTTATTTGCTAACAGTTTGACTTTAACTATGGACATTCAATTCAGCATCAACTCAATACCTTCCATGGGTAAAACACTGTTCTAGATGTTGACATTAGCCTGCATTTGGTTATTAGCCATTGCATTTTATTAAGATGTCTGTACTTTTGGATAGCAACTCAACTATCTCAATGATCTATTCTATAAATTATCAACAATTGAGTTTAAAATCTAGGCTCCTTCTATTACCCAGCACATGCCAAAATGATCTCCTCCAACTTCCAGCTGATTTGTATTTAGGAAATGTAAGATTGCAAATCAAATTTGGAAATATAAATCTGCTTGGAGAATAAAAAAGCACACCATACAATTAAAAATAAAACATAACTTTTTTTGACAACTCAGTATTTGCATTATCTCTGACATGGCTTCCCTACATTCAGAAGATAACTGAAAAGTGATTATATAAACACAAAGACATACACACATAATCCCTCTCTTCATGTACATGTCTGTGTACACACACACACAAATACATTTGTAATCTCACTCATTACCTTTACATTTAATCAATTAAACAGCTGAACTGCAATCATGACCTAAAATATGGCTTATGTTGTGGGCAGGTCTGTTTGAAGACTGCTTGGAAGAGTCAGAGGAAGAGGAGTTTGCTATTGTAAGCAAAGGTGACATCGCTGAGCCATCAGGAAGAGCTGTAGCTATTTCTGGAAACAAAGATGTCATATTAAAATTTGATAGGTGAGAGTTGGTCATATGCATTGGTGGCATATCAGGGAGAAGAGGAAAACTTGGTTGAGCAAAGCCAACAGGTCTGGGAGGAGATAAAATTGATCCAAATCGGTTATTCAAACTTCCACTGTTCACCTTCTCTGTGCTAGGATTTGAGAACATCTGATTAGAAAAATAGGGGATTGAAATATCATTGGACAGTGTAGGATGAGCAGGAGAATATGGGGGATAGAAGGATGGCAGAGTATTTTGGGGATCTACTGGGATGAGGGCTGGCGTTCGAGTGGCACTAGGCTGAGTAACCTGTGGAATGAAAGAAGTATTAGCATTTATTGGTGGATTCATGCCACCCTCAGGAATAAAAGAAAAACCAAAATTTTGTGACAGTGTATGCTGGTCAGGACCTGAATTATCATTAGGTACTTGTGGGCTATCAGGCATGAAACGAACAATACTTCCTCTCTTCTCGGTAGCAGGTTGTTGACGTCCAAGAATCATACTGCCACTAGTAGAGAGAGGGAGATGGGGAAGACTTGGATCAAAGACATTGCTATGTCTTTGGTTTCCAGAACGATTCCTTTCAGGTTGACGAATTTTGGAACCACTGCTGTCTTGCAGGAGATGCCTTGATCTCTGGGGTACTGAAGAAGTAGCTTGACGTACAGGAGGTCCTTGATCAGCATTTCCATGAGACACAGATGGATGTGGCAAAGCTGGTCTTGCAACCCCATGCATGTTGGTGGTGACTGGAGGGTTCATGTGGCCCTTGGTCCCATGACTGTCAGTAATCCTCATAGGATTGGATTTCTGTACAGAAACATTGGGACTTGTGTTTCGACCCTGAATATCTCCTGAGGAAGAAGAACTTGAAAAAGGAATATTCAAGGTGCTGTTCCTGGTGTTAATTGCACCTAAAGACATGTCACAACTTTCCCTATTCTGACTCTCATTCTCTCTTCTAATATGGACGCTTTCATGAGTTGAGGGACAATTATATTCAATTGCAGAGGATGGCCCACACTGTGTATTCCTCTGATGCTCTGAGAGTGACCTCTGGTTCCCAATGACCTGATCACCAAGGTGAGGGGCAAGTAAACTCTGCATGAAACTTTGGTGACATGTATTTTCACTGTCCCTTGGTGGAATAGCGTTCCCTGCTGGGATGCTCTGAACTGGTGTATAAGGTAATCTCTTTTGACGGTCAATTGGTGGTGGACCAGTGTTTTGACTAATTCGAAAAGCCTGGGACTGCATACTCCTCAATGATGATACAGGATTGCCTATTTCATTGTTTCTTGATGATTGTACTTCAAAATTACTTGGGGGCTGTTGACTGGCTCCACTTGCTTTAAACGTCTGACAATCAGAAAGGCGAATATCTGAGGCTACAGCATGGTCCACACGACCCTGCATATTATGAATAGCCAAACTCTTATTTCTGGAAACATCAAGATAGCTTCTCATTTCAAGCTGGTCTGAAACTCTAGAACCCTGAATTGATATGCCCATTCTCTGCTCTGAATTAGAAGATGTCTTTCCAATAAGTGCCTCAGCAGAATAACTTGAAACTCTGTTTCTCTCTGGCCTATGTGGAGTACAGGTCATGTCAGAAGCTCTAGTCACAATACTTGGTTGGGACACCATTTGCTGCTCTAAGCCTCTTGATGTCAAAAGCCTCTGCATTGGATTGTGTCCCGATACATGTTCAGAAGAAACTCCTGAACCTTGCTGTCTGCTTCCAACATCCTGCTGTTGGTGCATAATATCTTGATTGAGATGGTTCTGGGGATGGTTATGGTGGTTTCGGCTAGTGGAAGGGTTTTCACAGTTCTTCTCTGGCTGGGAACTTCCAAAGTGTTGCTGCATTTGTTGCTGCATCTGTTGGTGGTGGGGATGTGGCTGACCATTCTTGGGTCGAGATTGGTCTGTTCCATGGTGCTTCGGTTGCAAGGAAAGCTGAGAGGCCTGAGTGCCCTGAACAAGATTCCTCTTCTTCTGCATCTGAACTTCCTGTTGTAGGGTCCTCTGTTGGTGGACATTATGGGGCTGAGAGTGGACAGAGCTCTCTGGATGAGGTACGTGGTGCTGCAGCTGATATAAGTGATGCCTCTCTCTTAACTGCCCTGCTTGCTGCTGCTGCTGTTTTATGTAGAGATGGTTACTGTGAAGGTGAGATACCCCTTGAGCTGGAACATGCTGCTGCAAGGCCTGCAGATGCTGATTGGCCTGGGTTTGCTGCTGCTCTGCAACAGGAGGCTGAGAATTACACTGAACTTCAGTTTGCCGCAATGAAGGGGCCACAAAGTTGTTACTAGGTGGAAATAATCGTGTAAGGCCATCTCCGTGAGCTGGGTTGCTTACAGGCACAACTGAGTTTGAGGAGTTGGGAGGGATCTGACTAACCATCATTTGAGCTTGATCAGAAATGCCGTCTGGAGTTCTGCTCATGAGGGACATACTTTCAAGTCTGAGGGGGGCTGGCTGACAATGCTTCTGACGTTTAGCTGAAGACAGTAAAAGGTCCTCTTGGACAGCACGCTTAGCAGAATCCTTACGGCTTTCATGACTTGGCTTTAAGAGTGGCTCTTGAATCTGCGAATTTGGTATGGTACTGGTCATAGTATTTATCTGTTCTTGGGAGTACTCGGTCATCAGAGATGGCCCAGGAGGCTGACTACCATAGGAGCCAGATGAAACAGTCAGATTCACCGTTGCAGGAACAGTGGTTTGCTCTGAAGTTTGGGACAGACCTGCACAGCTGACCAGAGGATGGCTGATGCTGCTCTGATGGATAAGATTATTCACACTTAAACTGGTGATGCTCGGTGGTTGAGAAGTAGAAGCCTGTAAAGAGGCATTTGACGTTTTAATTCCCAGAGAACAACATGGTTTTTCACGGGGCTTTCCCCTTTCCACAGCTGTTTCAATTGAATCCTGAGAATTAAATTCACTTGGTGTTGCTTCTGCCTGTCCTGTGCCATTCTCTTTAGGTATCTGTGATTTGAAAGGTGGGTCTCTCTCTAAAGATGATGCTTCAGAAGGCTTTGAAGTAACTTCCCTCATATCTGCCTGGAGGCCAACTTTTCCCTTCTCAAGGTTCTCCTGGTCAAAAATAGCTCTTGCTGCAAGAGCTACTATATCAGTTTGCTCTACGAAGGAACAGCTGTCACACGTATTAGTCGCTGCATTGCCGGTCACATCCTCCCTAGTTGTTTCAGGAAGCATGGATGCAACTGAGAAACTACGACTACTGCCAGAACTGGTGGACATGGGAGAGTCAGCCTGCCTACTGGTGACCAAAGAGCCATTAATAACCTCCTGATCAGGAAGGCAGGAGTGATGCTGAGGTGGATCTCTGTCATCATTGCTCATCAGTAGTATTTCCTGTTTGGGGTGTAAATTAACACTTGATTCAGTTATTTGAGAATTTTCTGCAGAAAAGTCAGGATGATCCATCTGATCTGAAAGAGATGATTTCTGAGGGTCTTTTTCTTTAGCAAGATCAGATAGCAATGTGGTTAAACCTTGCCCCTTTAAGAGACCTGTGTTTTGCATTGTATCTGATGAATCTTGCTCAACTCTGCAAGGTTCAGCAATGATTTCCACCTCAGAAACACAGTCAGTACCTGTAGTGCTCGTGGTAGATGACAATCCAGGAACCTGAGAAACCAAAATGTGAGCATCATTTGGAGATGGAATTAACACATTGGCTGAAGTGCAGGATTTGGCAGCACTTGACAATGCTAAACTAGTTGGTGATTTATCCTGAGATGTCTCTTGTTGCAAACTGGGTGTAGAATCTTTGGGTTTTGCTGGGGCCACTGCAAAATGTTCACTTGTTACAGATTCTTGGGAGGGTGAGCTGGACTCTTCTACTGTTTTAGATTTGGATACAGACTCGGGTATTACTGATTCAGAATTTAGAATGTCCAAGGAATGCGAAACACTTACACTATTTGCCTGGGACACAGGGACAGATGGTAATTCAGCAGGGAGGCCTTCCAGCAGTCCATTACAGGGCGGCTCTACCGGGCCTTCAATGCTGGGACAGTCCAGCTTGCTCACATCTCTGACTGAATTCGGGGGACATGCTGACTTGTTTGCTGCTAAGTGTTTCTTGGCACCTGGCTTCTTAGTCAACCTTTTTGACTTCACGTTAGGTGGCAAACAAGCAAGAGTGTTCATGGAGGGAGGAGTCACTAGATTATAAGTACTGGGTAGTGTGGCTGAATGATCTGTTGTCACAGGAGGTGCTACAGTTGTTGCTAATGAAACACAGTTAGCTGGGGTGGTTTGACTATTTGCAGCAGTTTGAGGATTGGCAGGCTGGCTAATAGACAGTTGTACACAGCTTTGCCCAGCCATCTGTGATATGCTTTGATTGAGGCTGGCCAAAGCACCAAATGTATTCAGGGCAACATTGGTATTTGGATCTTCGCTGGTGGTAGGTTGAATAATTTGCATAGGGGTTTGATTGGTAGTTCCTGATGAAGACATCACAGGCTGCAAAGCAAAGAGCTGTCCATTTAAAGAAATGGTTTGAGGCTGTTGTTGGTTTGACATGGTAACAGAAAAAGTTTGTGTTGAGCTAGATGTTGATAAAGATGAAGGTCTTGGTAATATGTGAACAAGATGCTTTCCTCCAAAAGTCTGTGGGGTTGAAACATTTTGCACTGAATTATTAGACCCTATTATAGTATTGGCTCCATTGATAGGGAGTCGAACAGAACCAGGAGGTGGAGCAGAGAGGAGTGGCAAAGGATTCTGATTAGCTGCCTGTATGATTACTATCTGTTGACCCACTGTTTGGTTGGGAACCTCTGCCCTCACCACTGTTGGACATGGGGTGGTGCTGGGAGGCTGAAGAATGATAACATTCTGATTAGCTGGAGTTGCATTAACGGCCGACCCAACTGGCTGAGCCATCTGAATTACCTGCATTGCTGAATTCAGTGGAAGGATATTTTTTGGAGGCTGAGATTTAACCTGTGGCTGGGCAATTAGTGACTGCATAGGTAAAGATGGACATGAAGGCAAAGTTACAACTACTTGCTCAACTGACTGTCCATCTGCTAGAAAGGAAGTATTCAAGTTGATGCCTGTAGCCACGTGTCTACTGTGGTTGCTTGTGGTGGGGCTAGTACCAGACTCATTTAATGCTGGAGTCATGGTGGAAGATGGTGTCTGGCTTAAAGGCTGAATAGTGTTTCCTGCCAGTTGCAAAGTAGTCCACGTTGTCTGTGTGTTTCCAGCTGAAGAAATTCGGGTAAGGCTATTAATGTTTTTCAAATCTGAAGCACTAACACTTGAAGAAGGCAAAGAACAAGAAAGAGTCCAACCATTGTCCACAGAGTTTGCAGACAGAGTGCTTACAGGAGTGGTGGCCTTCCCTACTCCAGAGACAGATGGTGCCACCACCGTGGCTGTACTTGTCAAGTCTGCACTCTTGCTGTTGCTCACTGGAGAGGATCCACCGGCAGATCTGGGAGGCTGGGAGCAGACTGTGGTGGTAACTGAAACAACAAAGGTGTTTTGAAAATCACCTCTCAGGTCCTGTATGCTCAAGCAGGACTTGTTTCCATGGTGCACTTTAGTGGCAGTTGCTGAGGAGGTGGGGGGGATGCTTGTAGCACAAGGGACTGTTTTCTTCAATAATTTGGGGCTCTCTTGACCATTTTTATTTTCCAAAGGATTTTGATCGTTTGGATATGTGTGCAAGGAATGATGTTGGTGAGGTTCAGGCCCAACAGGAACAGCAATCAGTGAGCCACTAGTGGCACCAAGCACACTCGAGTCACTTTCAGAGGTGGAAAGCTCAAGAATATTTTGAGCAGAAATGGTAGCAGGAAGACAAAGAGGAACGGGCTGGTTGGTAGCCAATGCAGAAACTGTGGTTTGATGCCATGGCTTGTTTTCAGAAGGGTAAACTCCAGAAATAGACACAGGAGTCACAAGATTGCAAGTCCTCTGTACTGGCACCACGTTGGCAGTTTGCTTTTGTAAATTATGACCAACATTAAAGGTTATCCCCTGAACAGCTGTTCCCTGGCTGTTTCCACCAGGCTGACTCCCATTGGAATAAACAATAATATTTTTTTGAACCTGGTCACTAGGAATAACAACAGAGACCTTTGAGTTTTTCAGATTTCCTTTCCAGTGGATTGTGGGATCATCATATAAGCATATGTCATTTGCTTTCAGTAATTCAATATATCGGCCATTTTCTTTTTGAATTTCTTCCAGTTGTTTTCGTAGCTTTTTTATTTCTTCAGCTATAATATTTAAAATAAAAATGTAAAAATATCAATGAATGTCAGTATTTACCATAACTTAGAAAAGAACAATGTACTAATTCTAATTCTAGCATTCTAAATACCTCAATTGAGACTCTTCAGTTCTTTTCTAACATAAATTCTTTCTGCTTTTTAGAATGGTATCTTTAAATGTCTATTCCCTCCTTTTAAAAGCATAAATGTTTAAAGGCCAACAACTGAAAAATTACTGATAATGTAGGTATCTCAACATTCCCAATTCAGATAGGGCAGCTACATAGGTGAAACAAAGGAAGACATATTGACATCATGGTAATATGTTAGAAAAATAACATTGAATATCAATATAATAACATTTAAATGCTGCAATAGCTAACATTTGTTGTGGTGATAATAGATAATCTCTCTCTCTCTCTCTTTTTTGAGTCAGAGTCTCATTCTGTTATCCAGGCTGGAGTGCAGTGGCATGCTCATGGCCATGGCAGCCTAGCCCTCCTGGGCTCAGGTGATCCTTCTGCTTCAAATCCCGAGTAGCTAGGACTACAGGTGCATGCCACTACACTTGGCTAATTGTTTTTTGATTTATTATAGAGATGAGGTCTTACTAAGTTGCCCACACTAGTCTTGTACTCCTGGGCTCAGGCAATCCTCTTGTCTCTGCCTCCCAAAGTGCTGGGATTACAGGCATGTGCCACCGTGTCTGGCCAGATAATCTCTTTTACAAATGGTTTTAGTTTCTAGTTTACCCTTTGAAACAACGGAGACTAAAAATGGAGTTTCTAGTTAGCCCTTTGAAACAAAGGAGCAAGAACATGTAAGAAGCAAAGTGGCAGAGCAACAATGAAAACATCAACAATGGAAACCACAATTTCCCTGGTAGGGTCAATGCAGGTATACTACTGAGCAGTGAAGGCATAAGTCACAGCCCTACTTTCTGAGGGAGACAGCTTCACCCGGGCCCCAGGAACGAGGAGCCTCGGATGCTAGTACGTATGCTCTGTGACGCCACACATCCCCATCTGCCTTACCACCATGATGTGTGTTCTCACTTCTCCCAAAGCAGCCAATCCTCAAGGCTAATGCCCTATGAGGCAGCCTGAAATGGAAAGTTCCATTCCAATAAGGATGAGCTGAAACTAGCAGATCATTTTTCTCAGTTATTTACACTAAGGCCCAAGAGAAAGATGCCAGTGTGCCATGGACACTGGAAATTAAAGGACAATCATTTTTCTCACTTACTGCACATTTACTGCCTGGCACTTTTCACTCATTTTCTCATTTATCAAGCATTTACTTTGTGCTAGGCATTAGTCTTAAGTGCACTGTATTAAGTACTTATATTATCTCTTTTAATCCTTTTAAGAACCATGAGATGGGAACTACCTATTATTACCACCATTTTTAGATGTGAGAAACATGTTCAGAGCAGTTACATGATTTGCCTAAATCCAGTCAGGCAGATACTACGATTATCCTCATTTTAAGATAGGGAAACAGGGACTTGGAGAGGTTAAGTAATGGGTCAAAGAGTACTGGTGAGTCAATGAAGCTGAGACTCAAACACAGGTGGGCCTAAGCCCAATGCCACTGTCTTGACCAACGGGCATGTGGACGGTGTGTATGCAGAGGAAGCCACTAGGAGAATAAAAGAGATTAGAGCAAATGCCCAAAAAAGAATGGAAGACATAATGATCATGACAGAAATAAAAAAAAAAAAAAAAATAGCTAGATTTAAGCTATCTCAGGTACTGCCCCTAACCCCGCCTCGCTGGTCAACTTTTGCTGAACCCCATGCAACTTGTATTTTTTAAATAGTTTCCCTTTTCCCTAAAGTAACTTGATTGTCTCAGCCTCTGTGCTTTGAAAGCAAAGGAGTCTTCATTAGAAAAGTCATTCTAGCCGGGTGTGGTGGCTCACACCTGTAATCACAGCACTTTGGGAGGTGGAGGCAAGAGGATGGCCTAAGTTCAGGGGCTTGAGACCAGCCAGGGCAACTTGGTGAGACCTTGTCTCTATAATAAATAAAAAAATTAGCTGGCCATGGTGGTGCATTCCTGTAGTTCCAGCTACTTGGAAGGCTGAGGTGGAAGGATCATCTGAGCCCAGCAGGTCAAGGCTTCAGTGACCATGAGCGTGTCACTGCACTCCACCCTGGGGTGACAGTGAGACTTGAACTCAAAAAAAAAAAAAAGAAAGAAAGTCATTCTAGCCTTATTTACACTCCTCCTTTTCTGGGGTACCTCAAATGGTTACCAAACATGAACACGTATCCTGTATCTATCTGACTGCATCACAAAAGGACCTGGACCATAAATGACAACTGACTTAGGTGATGGGGAAAGTTGCTATTTAACTAAAAGTAAATAAGGAGATTCTGAATGCTGACCTCTAAGATATGCTTTCCAGTATTCTTCCTGTCCATTACAATAAACACAGTCCAGCACTGGCCTGACCTCAGCAAATTCTGCCCTTTCTCCTCTACTTTTAAGGTGGCCTACTGAGTTGTCATAGGAAGTTATTTGGCTGCTCTTTTTAGAGCCATAAATAAAAAATAATTCAAATAGGTCTACACTGAACTTTACACTTGCCTGGGATATTTTTCTTTTCAGCAGCTATAAGGAAACTTTCTCTCCAATACTGGTGGAAAAACAGAACTCATTTGACAGCATAAAAAGGTCACCTCTATCTAAAAATCAAATATCATCAAATGATCAAGCAGTTTAACACATACATTACATATAATATAAACAATTATGAACTGAATGGTTTGGCCTTTTTAGTTCATGCACAGTTAAGTCTTGGCACAGGCATGTCCTAATCTTGTTTTAAGTTATGCTGAACAGAACTGCCCCACTACATTCTGTTATAGGATTTCCCTAACTGCAAGATTCAGTTGGAATAATGGAGATTAAGTATTATCAGTATCAAAACATGAAGTGCACAGACAAGTCCAAAAGCAAAATTCTGTATGCCTATAAGATTAAGGTTGCTTTCAGAGGAGGGAAAAGAGTTAAATTAAAATGAATTTATTTGCAACACCATTCTTCCAGACCCAATGAATGCAAGATCTTAGTAATGTTTGGGGCAAAAAAGATTTTCCATATCCTAATATGTTTCACTGTGACACAAATGCCTAAACATTAAAAAAAAGTAAGACTATTCAAATCTTTACCTTGTTCATTGTTTCCTCCATTGAGCAGGAGCTCATCATTTTGCCTTTTCAATTCTGTTATATATTTAAAGGCTTGGTCCAGGATCATATTCTTGCTCTGACAAAGAAAATCAACCATTTAAAAGTTTCACTAAAGGATAACAACTTCCCAGAAGAAACTTAAAGCTTTGTCTTGATCACATATATGTGCTATATATCTTTTCAATATATCTTTTCAAATTTTAAAACACACAGCATATTCAATAGCTTCTATTTTTCATTTTTCATTTGTTAAATAGTTACTGGGTGTTTACTATGTGTCAGGTTCTGTTATAGGCACTGGAGATCTAACAGTAAATCAGACAAATTCCCTGCCCTTAAGGAATACACACACACACCACACACACACATACATATATATATATAATATATAATATATAATAATTAGGTGGTATTAAGATTTTACACACACACAAATGCTACAAAGAAAAATAAAGCAGGGTAAAGAGGGAGCTAGATTGATGATGGCGGTTACCCTGTGTAATATACCGTATGTGCCTTTTAAAATTCATATGTTGAAACTTTTATCCCCAATGTTACAATATTTGGAGGTGGCACCTGTGGAAAGTAATTAGGACATGAGGGTAGAGCCTTTGTGAATGTAGAGCCTTTAAAAGAGATAGAGGGAGATAGTATCTCCCTCCCTCCCTCCTTCCATCTCTCTCCCTCCCTCCCTCTCTCTCCCTCTCTCCGTCTGCCACTTGAGGACACAACCAGGAAGCAGCCCTTCACCAGAAACTGAATTGGCTGGAACCTTGATCTTGGACTTCCTAGCCTCCAGAACTATGAGAAGTAAATTTCTGTTAAGTTACCCAGTCTATGTATTTTTGTTATAGCAGCCTGAACTAAAGCACGCTGCTACAACTTTTTTTGTATATGGAGGCTGGGGAAGACCACCTGAGCAAAATCCCAAAGGAAGAAAAAGGAAGCATGCCCTGTGGATACTTGGAGAAAGAAGGTCCTGGAAGTGAGATCAGAAGAACAAAGGTCCTGAGGCAGGGCTGGGCGTGGCATGTTTGAGGAACGGTAAGGAGGTAAGTGGGGCTAGAACGAAGTATATGGGGAGGAGTAGCAGGAGAGGCCAGAGACAGCCTTCAAGACCATGTAAAGATTTGGGATTTCAATGTTACTCTTTACTCTGTCAATCACAACTACAAAGTATTCTAAATAATAGGTCAAGAAAGAAATGTCACTTGATTGAATTTTGATATCATGTTCCCAGTATATTCTATTCCTAAGCTTTTAAAAAAGATTGTGTTTTATGTCAAAGTGTTCCTTTATTCTTTTTTTTTTTTTTTTTAAGTTGGAGTCTCACTCTGTCGCCCAGACTGGAGTGCGGTGGCCACTCCTGGCCACCACAACCTCGCCTGCTGGGCTCCGGCGATCCTTCCGCCTCAGCCTTCCAAGTAGCTGGAATTACAGGCATGCGCTACCACGCCCGGCTGATTTTTTGATTTATTGTAGAGATGAGGTCTCGCTGCCCAGGCGGGTCTCGAACCTGCGGGCTCAGGCAATCCACTCACCTCAGCCTCCCAAAGGCGCGGGATTACAGGCTGAGCCACCAAACCCGGCTTGTTCCTTTATTCTTAAATAAAAATTGTTAAGATTGGAAACAGGCTATGCATATGCCAGAAAATGTAAATTATATGCAGGGACATATACTGAAAAGTAACATTCCTTTTTGCTTTAGCTCTTTAGACCCTGTTCCAGAGGCAACTACCATAAACTTACTTGTATATCCTTCCAGAAATGTTCTATACCAGTGCATGCCTCTATATATCTTTTTTTTAAAAAAACCCAGATAGAAGGAAGATATAAACAGTATGCTGCATTTTTTTTTTAAATATAGCCAAGCGCAGTGGCTCATGCCTGTAATCTCACTTTGGAACACTTTGGAAGGCAGAGGCAAGAGGACTGCCTGAGCTCACGAGTTTGAGACCAGCCTGAGCAAATTGCTGAGACCTTGTCTCTACAATAAATCAAAAAATTAGCCGGGCATGGTGTCATACATCTGTAGTTCTAGCTACTTGGAAAGCTGAGGCAGGAAGATCACCTGAGCCCAGCAAGTTGAGGCTGCAGTTGCCATATCCTGCTACTGCACTCTAGCCTGAGCAACAGAGTGAGACTCTGACTCAAAAAGTAATATGTATATGTATATATATAATATATGTACATATATATTATTTATATCTCCATATGTGTACTTACATATTTTTATATGTAATATCTATATTTCTATACAGAATTTAAATCTGTATCTTATTTCTAATGACTATTTATTTATTAGACTATTACTGATGAATATTTAAACTATCTAATAGTCTTTCTGGTTTTTATTCTTCTGTTATTAGAATGTAGCAATGATAGCCGGGCTCGGTGGCTCAGCCTGTAATCCTGCGCCTTTGGGAGGCTGAGGTGAGTGGATTGCCTGAGTCTGCGGGTTCGAGACCCGCCTGGGCAGCGAGACCTCATCTCTACAATAAATCAAAAAATCAGCCGGGCATGGTAGCGTGTGCCTGTAATTCCGGCTACTTGGAAGGCTGAGGTGGAAGGATTGCCAGAGCCCAGCAGGCCGAGGCTGCGGTGGCCGGGAGCAGCCACTGCACTCCAGTCTGGGCAACAGAGTGAGACTCCAACTCAAAAAAAAAAAAGAAGGTAGCAATGAATGTTTAACTTCTACTCAGATATATAGATAAATAAAGATCTCCAGTACTTTATGGATAGATCTTTTCATCGAGGAATTGCTCTAATTTAGTCTTTTGTTTGGCAAGTTACAATTCTGGGTTCCTTACAGTGAGTCCCAACAAATACCCATACATAAACCCAGAAAACTCTTTACTTTTAAGAGGAAAACAATATTATCCTTTTAAAAAACAAGAATCTGGGTACCTGCATAATGAACATTTGTATACCTAATCCTGAACTGTATCTCACATCTTTAAAATTAAAAAATTAAAAAACAAACAATAAATAAAAAAGAATCTAAAAAAATAAAAATAAGAAATAAAAACAAGAATCTGAATAAAGGCGGCACCTGATAATGTCCAGCCACCTGCCCCTTTACTGCAGACAGGGGACAGAGTACGTACAAACAGTGAAGAAAATCTCCAGAGACTCTGCTGCTGCGAGCCTAATATTGACTTCCTCACACATTCTAGGACACCAAGGGAGTGAAATGGTTATGGTTTTCTTTCTTCAGAGAAACTCAAAGGAATGAAAGTCAAGAGTAGGAAAACAAGATTTTACTGGACAAACACCAATATTTACTAAGCAGTTACCATTCACTAGGATGTGGAGAAAGAAGAATAAACTAGGAGACAATAGTTTGCCATTATATTAAGGAAACAGTGCCTTTTTTTTAGAGTTGTGGGGTACAAGAGGGGATTTACTACATAAGTAGGTTGTATGCAGGTGAAGTTTGGGCTTCTAACTGGCTCTCTCTCCCCTGATAGTGGACAGATAAACAATACATTTTTTAAAAGACTAAAAAACACATTATGGAAGTCTAAGTTCACCCTGTGGAAGGGAATGAAAAGGGCAAGTGCCTCCAAGGGAGATAATGTTGAGAAGCAAGCTGATTTGACCCTCCAAAATCCTAGGAAGCTTCAATACTGAGAAATACCGGCTTCTCTAGAAGTTGGGGTAAGGGATGTGGTTAAAATTGAGGGGACGACTTTAAAGAGTCTTAATAAAACAGTAATAACAACCACCCTCCCCCGCCCCTCACATCCTATTAAGCTGGATGACTTTCCCTTTCTGCCTCAACTGCAGGAGACAAGTTTATTTTCTGTGACATTTGAACCAGAGAATTTCAACCTCAGGGACACCTGGCACAAAAGTGAACAAGATGAGGCTCTTAAGTGAAAATGGGAGGGTAAACCTCTGCCTCCTGAATATGAGTCTCTACCCCCTCATCCCTGACATGGCTAAATGACAGCCAGGTTTATAAGCCTCTTCTCCCATTCCCACTCCTAGGCAGAAGAATGACGGTTCCTCGTCAAAAAAAAAAAAAAAATGAATAGCTATCTCACAGAAGAAAACAACTACAACTACAAACACTGATGTTTTTGAGTTCCACAACACCAACACTAGCACACCACCTAATCATGCAACGCTAAGAGCCACCAAAAGACAAGCCTGTTCAACCAGCTTTTTAATGCCTCATGATCAAGTATGAAAAATCAGCTACATATCATTTAGAGAAAGCCTCTGAAAAGAAAGACACAATATCAAAACAAAAGGGAGAAGAAAGGAAATTAGAGGAAATAAAAACAGCAAATTGAAGAAAGCTTCAGGGAAAAAACCTATATAACATTCAGATAAGAAGGTATCATATTCACAAACATATGGTAAGAAGAGGAACAAATAGAGAATGAGAAGAAATACTCTTGGAAATTAAAATATGAGAGCTGAAAATAAAAACAGAAGAGTTGGAAGAGCCAACTGTTTGAAATTGAAAAAAGAGGACAGAGGGTTCCAGAAGTAAACTCTCCAGAAAAAAAAGGGAAAATGGAAATTATGTGATTTAGTTGACCATGTAGAAATCTGTACTAAGAGACTGTTGCAAGTGTGGTAAGCAGTAAAGATAAGTATGTAGAAAATTAAGCAAATGAAAAACTATGAGGCAATTATTTATACCCTCCCCCTCCCCCAAAAAACAAATCTTACAACTGAAAGAAAACATAATAATAGTACACTCCTTGACTCAACCTTGAACAATATTTACACAATCTTTATTTATTTATTTTAAGTTGGGGTCTCACTGTGTTGCCCAGGTTGGAATATAGTAGCATGTTCGTGGCTCACTGCAGCCTCAACCTTCTGGGTTCAGGCAATCCTTCTGCCTCAGCCTCTAGAGTAGCTGGGACTTCAGGTAAACGCCAGCACTTCAGGCTAATTTTTAGTTTTTTTGGTGGAGATGAGATCTTGCTATGTTGCCAGGCTGGTCTCAAACTACTGGGCTTAAGCAATCCTCCCATCTCAGTCTCCCAAAGTGCTAGGATTATGGGCGTGAGCCATGATACCTGTTCTATACAGTCTTAATAACTTAAAAATGGATACAATTTCACTAAAAGTTGTGATACAATTATATTGAGAGAATCAGAAAAGGGGAGGCCAGGAGAAGAGTATAAAAAGAAGTTGATAGATAATATCTAAAATGGGGCAGAAACCAGGTATAGTGGCTCATTCCCGTAATCCTAGCACTTTGGGAGGCTGAGGCAGGAGGATTGCTTAAGCCCTGGAGTTCAAGACCAGCCTGGGCAATATAGTAAGACATGTCTCTACAAAAAAAAAAAAAAAAATCAAAATATTAGCCAGGCATGGTAGTGTGCACCTGTAGTCCCAGTTACTTGGGAGGGTAAGGCAGAAGGATCACCTGAAATCTGGAGTTTGAGGCTACAGAGAGCCATGATCATGTCACTGCATTCCAGTCTGGTCAACAGAGTGAGACCCTGATTGAAAATAATTAAATAAATAAATAATAACATAAAACAGGGCCAGGCTCAGTGGCTTAGCCTGTAATCCCAGCACTTTGGGAGGCTGAGGTGAGTGGGTTGCCTGAGCTCTCGAGTTTGAGACCAGCCCGGACAACTTGGTGAGACCTCGTCTCTACAATAAATCAAAATTAGCCAGGCGTGGTAGTGCATGCCTATAATTCCAGCTACTTGGAAGGCTGAAGTGGAAGGATCGCCAGAGTCTGGCTTGTTGATGCTGGGGGGGGGGGCGCTGTGAGTATGTCACTGTACTCCAACCTGGGCAACAGAGTGAGACTCCAACTCAAAAAATAAATAAATAAATAGATAGATAAATAAATAAATAAAACAGGGCCAGGCACGGTGACTCACACCTGTAATCCCAACACTTTGGGAGGCCAAGGCAGAAGTGCTTGAGCCCAGGAGCTCAAGATCAACCTGGACAATATAGCAAGACCCCATCCCTATAAAAACAAGCTTAAAAAAATTAGCCAAGTCTGGTGGACATGCCTGTAGTCCTAGCTACTTGTGAGGCTGGGGCAGAAGGATCACTTGAATCCAGAGGGTAGAGGCTACAGTGAGTTGTGATCATGGCACTGTAAATCAGCTTGGGAGACAGAGCAAGACCTTGTCTCAAAAAAAAGAAAGTGACAGAGCAAGTTATGAAACAGCACTGGATATATATATATATGTTTATATTCATAAAGCAATATCTGAAGACATGTGTAACGACATTGTAATAGTGGTTATAACTTATGGGCAGGGCTTCAATTTAGTTTTTAAACTTTTTTATGTCTTCTGTGTTGTTTCAATTTTTTGTTTTGTTTTCAGTGACACATTTTGTCCTCATTATCAAAAGAAACAAAAAACTATCTTCATTAGGGAAAACTGTCATGCTTTAAGCTGAAATTTTACACGCTAGTAGGAGTTGATAGGGTATGGAGAATAAATTAAAGTAGATATCCTTGGAAGAGTATAGGAAAAAATTTTAAATAGGAAAGAACATGCATTGGCAAGAAAACCAAAGAAATGTCTGGTAAACAGAGTGGAGCTTATGTAAACATAACCATGAAATTAATTTAGTAATTCAAGAGAAAACTTAAGAGTGTAGAAATTATATGGTATATTTGACCATGTAGATACTGTACTAAGAGACTGTTGGAAATGTGGGAAAATTAAAGACAGGTATATGGAAAATGAAGCTAATAAAAAACAAGGCAATTATTAGCTTCAAAAAACCATGAATGGTAGTGAATAAAAATAATCATTTTAAATACCAAAACAATTTAGGGAATTCTTTGCTCACAATTAATGAGTGAAAAAAAATGTGTGAACTTCTTACCTGCTTTAGGGCAGGGGAACATGGGATCAACTCTCCGATTCTGTTTATCCCAGCGTTGATTTTCTTCTTTCTATGCCTCTCCACTAGATGGGGGGTCGGGGGGGATGAGAGGGACATTCATTTATCAAACTTTATACTACTTTGCCAAAATGCCCCATTCGCCCTAGATAAAGAAATTTTAGGTAAAGATACCCCTAAGAAATGTTTATCAAATATAATCTACTATATATAACTATAGTAAGTTTTTAAAAGTTCAAAGAATTTCATATTTTAAGTCTAATGTTATAGGCTATGTATGTATTTAAGCCTAATGTTATAGGCTATGTATGTATGCCTGCAATCCTAGCACTTTAGAGGGCCAAAGTTGGAGGATCACTAGAAGTCAGGAGTTCAAGACCAGCCTGGGCAACACACAAGACCCTGTTGCTACAAAAAAAGATAAAAGTGAGCTAGGTGTGGTAGCTCAAGTCTGCACACCTAGATACTTGGGAGGCTGAGGTAGAGTAGCTTGAGCCCAGAAGTCTGAGACTGCTGTAAGCTATGATTACATCACTGCACTCCAGCCTGGGTAACAGAGTGAGAGTCTCTAAAAAAAAAAGTTTAGTGTTACAGAAATTGACATAAGGGAGCAACACTTTCGGGTCCCCTCCCACTGTGGGAGCTTTTCTGTCCTCTTAATAAATCCTGTTTTCTAAAAAAGAAAAAGAAAAAAAGAAATTGACATAAGGAATACTTAGTATTTTAAAGAATATCATTGCTAATAATTAAACAATTAAATTCATATGATAAACAGGAGTTGCTAAAATTCTATTACTATTAGGCCATCATTCATTATAGCTTAAGTAATTACTATAGATTTTGATGACCCACTAAGAAGCTAAGCTATTAGAAAGTTGCTTCTCTATGGCAAGTAGGCAAATGAGACCTTTCTAGACAGATTAAAGAACCCCAAAACACCTTTTAGGATGACTAGAGGGACTTCTTGGAACAGAAACATTAGTTATGACTTAAAATGGACAAGAAAAAAAAGACAAGAAAAGGCATTGGTTTGGTTTTCTCTATGGGATCTGGGCTCTTCACTTGGGCCATGTAGGCTCTTTTCCTCAAAGAAATGAAGCAACTGAGGACTTCTCAATCAGTTGTGAAATGTTCCAGGCTTACATGCTACAACTTTAAAAGGGGCAAAAGGATACAAGAGATTATATAAATAATTTCTATAAGACACTGAAGTAGAAACACCAGCCTTGGCTTTTTTCTGTTAGAAAGTTTTCTAAAGCCTTCCTTTTTAACAAAGGATTTCAGTGCTTCTAAGATGATCTTTCAGTTGGTAGCATGGGTAGGACTTGTTTTGTAAAATACATATGTTTATTGCTTCAAGATGTAGCAATAAGGTCATCCTTTTCAATAACATCCAATTACTCTCTCTTAATAAGTTATGGTAAGGATATACCTATGGCACCATGTGACAGGTGATTCCAATCAAAAAGACTGAATTCATATGCCCAAAAAAGACTAGATTTAATTAATACAGCCAAATAAAGAAGCAAAGCAATAAACTGTAGCTTACCTTTCCTCTGAATTCTCTAACAACAGTAATTGTTGTTACTTAATAGCAGAGTTTTTAACATGTGGAGTTTAAAAAAAAGTCAACATTAAGACACTTTAGCCCCAGCGATAAATGGGGTTTCAAAGGCGATAAACCCTATATTCTTGAAAATAGCAATATCCCATCAGTGTTCAATACAGTTTTCCATAGATAAAATATTCTCAAAGGTCCTTTCCTTAGAGAAGGGAAGATATCATTTACAGAGTAATATTAATTATTTTCTAAAATAATTTTTAAAGATCTGAATGCAGTCTATAACTGAAAATAAAAATTATACAAAGTGCCAAATTGTGAATTTATGCTCAATTAATTTCATATATGTTTATCTGGCTTTGGCCTATAATTTTGATATCTGAGATAAAATCAAGTATTTATTTTCTACATTTCTTCCTATAATTGAGGACTCCACAGCCTTATTTAAGACTCTTCATGATGCAAGTCCCTTTAAGATCCACAGCCTGCAACCTATCTCTTACTAGACCTCAAAGCAGCCAGCCACCCCTGGAATTTCTGCAAAGACACATACCCTCATTCTATTTAGAAGTGTATCTGGACTATCTTGGTGGGTGAAATTACTTAAAATGCTAGCTCTAGGAATATATTTATCTCTTAAATTATCTAAACATACTATTAATCAGAAGATGATACTCAAGCCATCTTTATGAGCCTTGAAGTATTTTGTCAATGAAAAACAACAAAGGAACATTTTCCTAAAACATAAAGAATAAAGATTCTATACTTATAACACAAAAACTTATAATCAACTGCAGTGTAATTAATTTTGAATGCAGAAAAAAATGTTAACAAGTAAAATTTAAATGATTGTTTCTACCTGCATTGTGTGTCTCCCGGTTTTTCTTTCTGAAACAATAAGTATAGATTAAAAGGTAACATGAATATAGTGGAAAAGCATTTTCAACTCATATCTTGAGAACCACAAAAATAAATATGAATCTGTGTTTGTTGCATTAATAAGAAATCATCTTCAGAAAAAAATTCTTAATATACAGTATGGATGAAAACATAATGGCAGACACTTCAATATAAATTTAGAAACCACAATTTCTGGAAATAAAACTACAGCTCTCTATTCTTCCATACCCAGAAGCCACAGGTTGGGAAATTAATTAATCAGTGAAAATCTTAACTATTTCAAAATGTTATTTAGGTGGTAGTAAATTCACAAAGGGATATGCCAGGTAGGTGGCTTCTGATATTTGCTCTTGTATTTGGGCAAATGTGTTTGTGTAGGAAAGACAAGCAATACTAGAGAGTGACTGTGATGCCTGAAAAACATGACAGCCAATAGCATCCATCACTGACCAATGGCATTTGGGCTACCTTTTGCATTTGTGTACCTAAGGTAGTTCAAACTTCTCTCAAAAGCCAATCTTCTAAAAACATTGACTTTCCCTTTTTATACACAATTACCCAATACATTAGTATTCTCTTATACCTATTTGGTAAGAAAAGAGAATAATTTGAATCTTAGTAAAAGGATTGGCTATGAGAATCTAAGTAGAAATACTGCTCAAAATACTGGAGATTTAGAAGAAGGGTATACAAAGAACTGGAAGTGATGTTGTGCTGATATGCATATTGGCACTAATGGACTACAGTGTCACAAAATGTCTACTCAAACAGACGACACCTTAAATGAACTTAAGATATACCAAAACTAATACTATATGCAAGTAAAAATGTCAGGAGAAACTAAACATTTAGCATAAATTTGGTAATACATTATTTTAACTACTGATGGGCATTCTACTTGTTATACTGCTAGTAGAACAAAGAGTCCAGGTAAATTTTAACCATATACTGCTTTCAGCAAATCTACTTCTATTTAACCACACAAATTTTTGGAAAGTAATCATTTTCTATGCTTCCAAATAAGAGATCCCTAATGACTTTCTACTTAGCAAAATAGGTACTAATATATTTTACTATATTATTTTTTGGCTGTGGATATATACCTGTGCTGCTTTTTTGTGGGAGTCTCATTCTCTGTCATTTCTGGCATGGTTACAGTGATAGAAACCTACAAAAGGATGGAAAGACCAGAAATTTTAGTCATTTTAGAATCTTAGAAAAATTGATGAGTAGCAATTTGAATACCAAAATGTTAAAAAATAAAATTGACATTGAAAAAGTACTGGATTAGGTGTTGCAGACAGAAAAGGGTAAAGGAAATCAGGACAAAAATACTCTAACTAGAGATGCAGAATATGGTGAATATCAAATGTGAGGTATAGCCAAAAAATGCTTGAGAAGATTGGAGGACAGAAAGATCATTGCAGGCTTGAAAATCAAGAGAAGCTTAAAGAGGATGTGAATCTGAGCATGACCTGGAAAGACAGGTAGCATATACTTAAGTTGAGAGAGTATGCTTTCGGTTCATGACACTAAACTGTTATACAAAATTTAAATAATAGTCCCCCTCTCTGAACACAGAAAAAAAAATTACTGAGAAGTACACAAACATGTAATGTTCCATATGTGGAAGCAAGCATTCATTCACTCATTTGTTGAGCTTTCTTTAATTTCAAACTGCTACTAGTCTCACATTACCAAACATATGAAAAAGTCATTAAAAACTGGGTGTGAAAATTCTATACATATTTAAAACATCAGGATACTAAAGAATATATGGAGGGTACCCAAAAAACCTGGAATTCTCTTTTAGAGGGTGGGCCTCCTCTTGTAGTACAGGTTTCCCCCACTAGACAAGCGTTCCAGGAGTTCATTGGCATTAGTGTACCAGCTACCATCATTGTGAGAGACTGTGGTTGGCTTCAGTGAATTTTTTTTAATATTCATGATGAGTGATTTACAAGCACCTGCTCACACTGAGCTAATTATTTAGCAGCTTTTGACCAAAAATGGCATGAACCCTGTGCCCCACCCTCCCTATTCATCTGAACTCTCCCTGAATGACTTTTGTTTGTTTCCATGATGAAAAATGTTTTCTTCTTTTTTTTTTTTTTTGATTTGGAGTCTCACTCTTGTTGCCCAGGCTGGAGTGCAGTGACACGATCATGGCCACCGCAGCCTCGACCAGCGGGCCTCAAATAATCCTTCTGCCTCAACCTTTGAAGTAGCTAGAACTACAGATATATGCCACCATGCCCGGTAAGTTTTTATGATTTAGTGTAAAGGCTAGGTCTCACCAAGTTGCCCCTGGGCTCAAGCAATCCTCTTGCCTTGGCCTCCCAAAGTGCTGGGATTACAGGCTGAGCCAACTGCACCCAGCCGAAAAACGTTTTCAGAAAGTTTTGAAGTTTTGTGTGGAAGAAGTGGAATGAAAAATGGCAGAAGTACTAAAAGGCATCAAAATTTATGAGTTCAAAAAGTTTTGAGCAGTGGAAAAAGCATCTCAATAAGTGTACTGCATCAAACAAAAAGTACTTTGAAGGTGACTGAAGTTTAGACTTGTAAAAATAAATACACAATTTCTTATAAATAAATTGTTTTTTGGGGTCCCCCCTCATATGTACTATTGGGAAATATACACATATATGGAAAAAAACTAAAAGCAAATACACTAATATATTAATCATAGCTATCTAAGGTCAGCGATTTTATAGATTTCCTTCTTTTATTTTCAAAAATTTCATAGAGAAAACCTTAATGTTTTTAATTCCCAGGGCTTTTTAACCTTTCAAAAGAGGTCTGCCAAGCTGTGGCACCTGTTCCAGTACACTGGAGAAGGTGCAAGCATGCTTTCCTATTTTTTTTCTCTAGGATAGAAAGAAGGTAGCAAGTATGGAATCTGAAGTCAGAGAACATAAGTCTAGATTCTGGTTCTGCCATTTTCTAGCTGTCAGGCCTTAGGCAGCTTACAGAACCTCAGATTGTTCATCTACAAAATGGATCATAATAACAGAATCTATATCATTGGGTTGTTTTGAGGAGGGAATGAAATTATGCAGGGACAGCACAATATTAGTACCTAGTGGTAATAAGGATTCGGTAAACATTAGCTATAAATGTTGAGGTAGTTCAGGTTAATTTTAACCCTAGGAAGGAGGGGGAAGGGAGTAAGTAGAAGTAAATGCAGGCAATGGGATGACAGAAAGTACTGATGACACAGCCGATGGAGAAAAGTGTAGTAAAGACCCATTTCCAGTAGTTTATTCCTAGTTCACCTTATCTCCACCATTTGTGAAGGAACCTATTGGCCTGAGAGCAGGGCACTCACATTAGATAAACATACAATGATGGTGTGGGACATGTAACAAGTAAATAATTAACCCCTGTCACCTTTCTCACCCAAGGACTTGCAGAGTTTCTTCACTTTGGATTCCTGGCTTCCAACGACTCCTGTTTCTGATCCAAATCTATCATCTTCTGCCAGAAGATGGTCTATAGATTATGTTTTCTTCTTACTAACAAAAGAAAATTCAGTGAATGTTTATAGTTGCTAGGTGTCCATTGACTGCACATAGGACAAGAGCAGGCAACTTATGGCATGGAGGCAAATTCTTAGCGGCATGCAAGATGATCCTGAATTCTCTCAGTTTGAATGCAGTCACTCTCAAAAGTCACTTTCCAGGCTGAGCATGATGACTCATGTCTATGATCCCAGCACTGTAGTAGGCTGAGGTGAGAGGAGCCTATGAGTTGAGACCAGCCTAGGCAACATAACAAGACTTCATCTCTACATAAAAAATAAGTAAAAAATTAGCAGGTTAGTGTGGAGCATGCCTTGTAGTTCCAGCTACTCAGGAGGCTGAGGTAGATGAATTGCCTGAGCCCAGGAGTCAAGGCTGTGGTGAGCCTTGATTGTGCCACTGCACTCCAGCCTGAGCAACAGAGTAAGACCCCAACTGAAAAAAAAGAAAGTTAAAAAGTCACTTTTCTATTGATTACCTATGCTCCATTCCTTCATGATAGTAGTCTTACAGCCAGGAGGTGATTCTCTCCTGTTTCTCTTTTTTCTTTTTTTGAGTTGGGTCTCACTCTGTCGCTCAGGCTGGAGTGCAGTGGCACACTCACGGCCACCACAGCCTCGACCTGCTGGGCTCAGGAGATCCTTCCATCTCGGCCTTCCAAGTAGCCAGAATTACAGGTGCACGCTGTCACACCCAGCTAATTTTTTGATTTATTGTAGAGACGAGGTCTCATCATGTTGCGCAGGCTGGTCTCGAACCCCTGGGCTCAGGTAATCCCTCTAGCCTCAGCCTCCCAAAGTGCTGGGATTATAGGCTTGAGACACCGTGCCCAGCCCTCCTGTCTCTTATGATGCTCACTTCCCTTAGGTCCTCATTACCCGTTGGTTACTCAACTTCTTCCACCTATGTCTTACACTAAGATCTGTCTTCAATTCTAAAGTTATCTTTCCTTCAATTTCCTACCTTCCCACTCTTGCAAGAGTGACTGAAAACTTACTGAAGGACTCTCTATTAAGACATTGACACTAGGAAGACACAGGTACAGCTCTGTGTGTGTGCTCTAAAAAAAAAAAAAAAATAGATTTGGGGGTTTCATCCCAGACCTGACAAATGAGAAGTCTGGGGAGGGCCTGGGAATTTGCATTTTCAGCAAGCTCTGAGAGTGACCTTCTATCTCTAACACACACACACACACAGAGTTATCTGCAGGAACTTGTTTAAAAAAATTTTTCAGCCCATTCCAGACCCATCAAATCAGTCTCTAAGGGAAGAAGAGAAGGAGCACTCATTACAAGTACCCCAGGTGATTCTGACAAAGACAAGTTGGAAATACAGGCTGGTATATTTATTTTTATTTTTAGAGTTGGAGTCTCACTCTGTTGCCCAGGCTGGAGTTCAGTGGCATACTCATCGCCACTGCAGCCTCGACCTGCTAGGCTAGGGGGATCCTTCTGCCTCAGTCTTCTAAGTAGCTGGAACTACAGGTGTGTGCCACCATGCCAGCTAGTTTTTTATTTATTGTAGAGACGAGTTCTCTCCAAGTTGCCCAGGCTGGTCTCGAACCCCTGGACTCAGGCAATCCTCTCTCCTCTGCCTCCCAAAGGGCTGGGATTACAGGTGTGAGCCACCACACACACCTGCTATCTTTAACTGGTGAAATTTCAACCATCTGACCAATGCCCTAGAGCTCCAGTCTTTCCCTTGCAGCACTTCTGAAGTCTGCAGATAATTTCACGTAATGATTAAGATGCATGACGTCAAGTTCTAATTTTCTAAACATCTAGATCTAGGGGCCTATCATATAAGTGTCATATTTACTGCACTCAAGTGAAAGTCAGAAATTTAGCTGAAAGAAGAATATAGCTGCAAACTAAATCATCCCGTTTACCAAATGCCACTATGAATATCCATCTCAAACCACATTTTAACAAATTAAATTACATCCAATTCAATACAAAATTATTTCCATGTCCAATTCTCCCAATATTAAAATTACATTTCTGAAGTTGGAAAAAAGAATATAAAGAACTATACAATATTTTCATAAATCTTTGTTCACTTATTAATTAACCTATTAATAATGAAATACCATTTCTAAAAAAATATTGACATAACTAAATACAAATATACCCTTTAAAATATTTAAAGTACCATTAATGTTTTAAGTGCCAGATATCATATTGGTAATCTATGAATTATTAAGTCTTTATGGTAAGAAATAATTATTTCTGAAATTAGTCAAACCCAGTAGTTCTCAAGTATGGTCCTCAGATCACCTATATTGGAATCATATCTTTTATAACTTTTTTTCCTTGAGGTAAAACATACATATAAGAAATTACACAAATCTTAAGTATAACAGTCAGTGAGTTTTGACAATGCACACACCTGTGTGACTCACCCCCCATTAAGATACAGAATATTACCCCCAAAGAAAGTCCTTTCATGACCCTTCCTGGTCAATCACTTCCTCTACTCCAGAGGCAACCACTACCATAACTTTTTTCACCATAGAACTTCATATAAATGTGTTGAGAATTCTTTTGTGTCAAGCTTTCACTCAGTATATTTGTGAAACTCATCTAGTACAGAGATGTCCAACCTCTTGGCCTCCCTGGGTTGCACTGAG